AATTTAATCTTGTATTAGAAAAATTGTGCATAAAATTTGTATTATATATAAAAAAATAACGGAAATTGTAACAATTCGTTACTTTTTGAGTAACGGCAACGGTGACGAGTTCCTTTTTAAAATTGGTAACGAGTAACAATAACGAGTTACTTTTTAGAAAAAAGAACGGTAACGGTAACGAGTTACTTTTATAAAGTAACTTTCCCAACCTTGATTACATGTATATACATGGAATGTACACGAAGTATTTTCTATGTATATACAGGCAGCGATCTCGTTCAAATATACATTGTATGTATATCCATACGATATCCTATGTATATCCAGAAATGTATCTACCTCAACGTATATCGTATGTATGTACGTTACATGTATATACATAGAATGTACACGAGGTATATTCTATGTATATACAGGCAGCGATCTCGTTCGAATATACATTGCATGTATATCCATACGATATCTTATGTATATCCATAAATGTATCTACCTCAGCGTATATCGTATGTATATACGTTTGATGTATATACATGAAATGTACACGAGGTATATTCTATGTATATACAGACAGCGATCTCGTTCGAATATACATTCTATGTATATCTATAAGATATCTTATGTATATCCACAAATGTATCTACATCAACGTATATCATATGTATGTACATAGTATATACAGTACATTTTTTTTTACAGTACATTATGTACATTACAGTACATTATGTACATTACAGTACATTATGGATATTTCATGTATATACATAGGATATCGATTGTTTACTGGGACATTAGAAATTTTCTAATACTGAACAACTATTCTAATATCGTTTTTCTCTACTTATCAAAGTTTGCAATAATATGAAGCTTTGTTTAATTGAAAGGATATACATTTTGTATACTTATCAAAATAAATAATATGATATGAAGTAAATATTTTATGTGTATACGTACATTAAGTTTCTCGATATATGAGAACAATGTACTTTAAATTTCGTACACTTTAGGTATCTCGATCTGAGATCGGTGTACAATCTAACTGTCTCATGTAGACTAATTTACTAATTTCTTTAAGAAAAATTAAAAATTTAGCATTAATATCCTGCAACGGCTCTTATCGCCATTTCATTATATTTCTCGTTTGTTAACATATGGAGCTTTTCATTATATGCGTTTTAAATATTTTATGTTTGTAAACATATAATAAAAAATATTACATATGATAAAAAATTATTAATAAATATTTTCTTAGCATTTTCGATAAAATAAGTAGAACTGGTAACCAAAGGTTTTTATCTTATTCCTACTTAATTGCACTTTTTTTAATATTTAAAACAGTAATTATTAATAAAGCGAGTGAAAAAATTAACTGAACAAAATCAGTGACAAAAACTTTTAGCAGATTTTGATATATACGAATACCGACGCTGACCGCTGACTGACGCTAAATTTGACGAGAAACTCTTTTCATACATTTCTCACAATCTAGCGTCAACTTTCATCACGTGACCTATTTTGACGCTAAAAATGAGCGTCGAGCGTCAGCGTGAAAAGACACCTTTATTGATTGCTTATGGCAATAAAATGTGTCTAAAGTATCGTCTTTAACATCAACACGACATGATTAGAGCACGATTAAGATTACTAGGACAATTTCTTGCTGCTATAAAGGAAATTGATAATACTATAGCAGATTTTATTTCAATATATAATCCAAAAAGATATGATTATTGTGTGAAAGCTGTCAATAATCTTGCACAATTTGATGAAACAACGTGGACATATAAGATACCTTCTATAGCATCTTCTTTAGGAACACTTATAAAACAAGTTGGACAAATTTTGAGGAGCATATGCATTAAGAAACAAGAATTCGACAATCAAATTACAGTAGAAAATTTTTTGAAATTATTTGAAGAAGATTATCCTATCAGCATAAACATAGTTGTACACGAAACTCAAGGCTGTCGAATGAGACAAAGAAACATAGTTTTACCATCTATGAATGATATTAAAATGTTGAATTCTTATTTCAAAGATGAACGTACGAAAGCTTTAAAAATATTACAAAACAATGGATTTTCAATTCAAGCTTGGCGTATTCTAGCTGAAACAACATTAGTATCTACCATGATATTTAATAGAAGACGCGCTGGTGAATTGGAGCGTATTTTAATAGAAAATTTTAAAAATCCCGCGGCAATTTCGAAAGAAGAGGTACCTGAATTATAAAAGAGTAGTATAGCTAGGAGAGTTCTAACCCAGGAGCAATAAGGGGGGTGCGAGGGAAAAGGGGAAGAGGGGGTATCGAATTACGCTGCGTCAGCACTTTGGAGGGGAGGGGGTTATCGGATTACGCTGCGTCAGCACTTTTGGAGGGGAAGGGGGTATCGGATTATGCTGCGTCAGCACTTTGGAGGGAGGGGGTATCAGATTACAGCTCTTTGAGGAGAGGAGGTATCAGATTACAGCACTGTGGAAAGGTATTAGGTTACACACGTTTACAGTTGTAAAAGCGCAGCATCAGCACTTTTGCGATGTGTGTATCAGGTTACAAGAGATTGGAGGGGACCACATATTTTACGGATTACGTTATCACTTTTTAGAAATTGCAGGCGCCATTTTGCGTCGTAGCATTTTGGGCGCCACCATTGTTGTCAGATTTCTTTATATATAATCAACACTTTTAATAGCGCCGTGTGCAAAAGTCTATAGCAACAGCCACGTCAGCATTTTTTGACACCATTGTTGTCAGATTTCTTTATATATAATCAACACTTTTAATAGCGTCGTGTGCAAAAGTCTATAGCAACAACCACGTCAGCATTTTTTGACACCATGATTGCCAAATTTTTTTATATTTTAATTAGCACTTTTAATAGTGCCGTGTGCAACAGCCCATAGCAACAAGCAGCCATGTCAGCATTTTGGGCGCCATTGTTGCCAGATTTCAATGTTTTAATCAGCATTGTCAGCATTTTTTAAATTAGTGTCGTGTGCAAAAAGCGGGTATAAAAAGCTCGCGAGAAATATAAATTATCACAGTTATCTGAAATCATTTGGACAATCACTACTTTGCTGCAACGCTTCACCTGAATTATAGCAACGATGTTTTCTACCGTACAGCAGACAACTGTGAGTAATCTGACCAACAAACAGCAAGGTGTGGAGACCTTCACGAAGAAACGGAAATATTCGCCCAACGAGTAAGTTGGCTCTCTTACTATTCGCACTTTTAAACTCGCCGCCATTGTTACATTTTGAACTCACGCAAGCTTTTTTCCACAGAAATGGAAGTAATTCGCCAAGCATCGATAGAAGCATGATCACGCCTCCCAGAATTTTGGTTAGAAGATACCCGTTGACAAAAACCGGCTACAAGTATCTTGACATCGGAATCAACGTCTCAACGCCGAGCCGTGTGGAAATCGCTCTCGGTGACAACCATGGCAAGGAGTTACGTCTATCATACGGCGTATGGAAAGAACTCATGAATCAACAAGGCATCATCGCCAACTTCTTTAAAAATGATGTGGACGAAGCACCGTCTCAGACCGTTGGACACTGCACGTTAAGTTTTGGAAAAATTAACAACCTAAAAGTAATGCGCCTAGCAACATCAGCATTATGTTTAATCATGTCAAGCCAAACCGCGTATAACATGTTTGCACTCGAATATTGTGTAGACTGCATCAATCATTCGTTGAACAACGTTACCGGTATAGTTGATGTCAAGTTCGCGCACTTTTCAGAAATCGCGAGGAATGGGAAGGACCCCGATCACGTAGCGAGTCGCAAAAGCGATTTATTCGATAAGAATAATATAATTGATTGTGAACTGGTGACTCAGGTCTTTGCGGAGTTGTAACAATTGTATATTACATATTAATAAATATTATTTCAATTGTAATTAAAATTTCTTTTTTATTTTCCCGTCTCATCTTATCCATTATACTGACTTATCCTACAACGCGCGCATCAAGTAACACCGCCGTAACATCGAAAAAATTATAATACATTTATAGTTTTAATAATAGAATGTTCAATTTAAATAAAATTCAAAGACATACTTTTAAGTTCTAACGTAATCTTGAAATGTAACATAATATTAATACTTCTTTGAAGAGGAGGAATATAACGCATCCTATAGATGCGTTGTAAATCTATGTGGCAACTCTATAGGGAGTTATCTTTTCAAACTCAGCATAAATGACAAAGGCACGCACTCTTAATTTCTTACACAATCTCGAAATGTAATTCCTCTCTCAAAGAACATTCTAAAGGAATATTCCATCATATGTAATTTGATAATACAATAGACGTACGAGAGACGTTCGATAGACGTTCGATAGACGTACGAGAGACGTTCAATAGATGTTTGATAGACGTTCAAAGATGTACGATAGACGTCCGATAGACGTACGAGAGACGTTCGATAGACGTTCGATAGACGTACGAGAGACGTTCGATAGACGTTCGATAGACGTTCGATAGACGTTCGATAGACGTTCGATAGACGTTCAAAGATGTACGAGAGACGTTCAATAGATGTTCGATAGACGTTCAAAGATGTACGATAGACGTTCGATAAACGTTCGATAGACGTACGAGAGACGTACGAGAGACGTACGATAGACGTACGATAGACGTACGAGAGACGTACGAGAGATGTTCAATAGACGTTCGATAGACGTACGAGAGACGTTCGATAGACGTTCGATAGACGTACAAGAGACGTTCAAAGACGTTCGATAGGTGTTCAATAGACGTTCGATAGATGTACGAGAGACGTTCTTACAAATAATAATTTATTATATCTCATGAGATAAGCGACAGATCATATTACATGTCGCATAAATGTTCTTACGTATAATCTATTATACGTTGCGAGATAAGCGATAGGTCACATTACATGGTGGATTAAGGGAAACGGCCCAATACTCGAACATATAAGACTTGGATATCAAAATTGATCGTACATAATTGATTAATTTGATTAAAAAACAAGTTTTTTTTTTAATATATAGATTAACTATAATATTTACAATAATAAATGACAAACCAAAGATTATTTTTTATTAAAAATTATTTGTTATATAGATTAAAACACGATAATCTATTTGTCCCGGTATCCGAACGCTATATCCCGAATGTTCCATTTGTATGTCCTAGTTCTCGAACAAACTTCAAGAAAGAATAATTTTAAGGAAGAGCTTTGGGAATTTATAATAATATATAATTTAAATCATACTAAATCTATAAATCTTACTTTTATTTATCAATACAAATATTTTATATACTAATAAAACATAACTGATAATTAATAATTTGAAATTTTAACTAAAAATTAGAATAACTATTAAAACATTGAATATTTTAGATTTTTTTAACGATCTTTTCTTCTTTTATTTTTCTTTTTAATAATTTTTCTGCCTCTTTTTTCATTTTTTCTTGCTCTTTAATAACTTTGAGTTTAGCTTTTTCTTCTTGTATTGCCTGTTTTTAATTGTAATTCTTGCTTCTTTTTTCATTTTCAGCTTTTTATGAGCTGCTAATTCTTTTTAGATTTGATTGTAAGTTCTTTTGTTTTTCCTCAGCTTTCTTTTATGAATGTGGATCCACTCTTCTGTTGTTGCAACTGAAATGTTCTGACTCTTTGACTTCTGTTTTTTCTTTTTTGGTCCTAATTCTGGTGGCCATGATAATGATCTTTTAAACGGTGAAGTTACATTGGGTAGAATAGATTTATTTTTTGTTTGAGTATTTTCTAAAAATAAAAATATTTTTAATAAAAATTTATTTATTAAACTAAGTTTAATTTTATTGTATTAATTAAATTTTATTGTATTTTATTTTGTTTAAGTGTACTTAAAAAATAAATATTAAAATCTTACCACTTTTAGTTGCAATTTCTTTTAAGACATTAGTGTTATCAAGAGCTGAATCATCAGCTGAATTACTTATTTCATTGAATAACTGTGGTTGTAAATTTTGATCTACAGGATCTAAAGGACTGATAAAATCAACTTCAGTGATAACTGAATTTATAAGTAAGGCATCTTCTGTGATAATAGGAATGTCATTTAAAAATATTTCTGTATCAAAAACTATATTATCATCTATTGTGTTATTTTTTATTTTTGAATTATCTTCACTTTTCTTTAAACCTATTTCAAATATAGAAAGTATATATATATAAGACAACTATTTGTACGGGGTAAATTTTCAAACCAAAGTGTGTTTCTCTGTAAACAAAGTGGAGAAATTTTATTCACTACTTAACGATTGTTATTTACACTATTTACAATCTTACCTGTAAACAAAGAAACGACAATTAAAGTTTACAATTACCGCTTCTCTATTCACACTACTTGATTTATTCTTAACTTTAATTCTCTGTAAATTGCACGTGTGCTTTATTACGTAATGACTATCTGTCTCTCTCCAACTGTGTGTCCGTGTCTATCTACAATCATTCTCGTGATCGTACATGTCGCTCCATCCAACGGTAATCAATCAGAAGACGCGCGGAGCATGAGAAGCGCGGCCAATTCGCATTAAAGAAAGTATACTTTCTTTACATATATAAATAAATGTACATGTACAAATAAACGAATTATAAATTAAGACTAAAAAGTTAATATATTTTCAAAATCTATATAGTTTTTTATACCAGAAGAATTTTGAAGTTTATTCCAAAGTTGGAACAGTCCTTTATTCTCTATATTACCAGTCCATTCACCTGTACTTTCAGATTTCTTAAATTCTTTAATAATATCAATATCTATATTCTTTTCAATCACCTGTAGAGCTTGTTTATACTGAGTTTCTTCTTTTTCAGTGACAGATAAATTCAAATTTTTCACATTTTTATTGCTAATATTTTCTGCATTTCTATATTTTAAAAGTGCATAATTAACTTTATCAGCATTAAATGGAGAAAGACCACACACTTCAAAACCATTTTTCATTATAGTCTTTAAATCTAGAGTACTGAGAGCAGTTTTCAAAATATTCCCAGTCTTCTTTTTTTATATTAATAGTACATTTTTCACGCTTAAAATCTTCAACAGCTTGTCCCCATGCTTTCTTCAGTGGTCTAAAAAATGTTCTATCCAGAGGTTGTATAACATGAGTCGAGTTAGGAATCAAGGCTATCAGATTAATGTTTTTTTCTCTGCAAAATGTACTAAGTGGAAGAGTAAAATGCGATGAGTGTCCATCCATGTACAGTATCACTGGAAACTTTATATTTTGTTGTATTAACCACAGATAGAATACATTTACTATGTATTCAAAAAAACTTTCACTAGTCATCCAACCATTTTCAGTTTTGCCTATGCTCCATCCTTTTGGAAAGTTTGAAGCAATATTTGCAGGCATTCTCTAATAACTAAAAAGCACTAAAGGCGATGCCTGATCACCAGCTGCATTATACAAAAACAAAGATGTGATTTGCTCCTTATCGTTACTTTCTACAACTTTATGTACAGTTTTACGTCCCTTACGAACTATCACTTTGTCTGTATCAGGAGATAATTTAAAACCTGACTCATCGCTATTAAATATTCTATTTTCATCTATATTTAACAAGTTATTGTCTTCCAGATATTTCTTTACTTCAGCGAACCAACTTCTCAGTCCTTCTTCGGTCACAGATGCTCTGCTATAACTAAGATTTTGTGGCTTTCTTTTACTCAGCTCAGGATGACGACGATAAAATGCCTCGTACCAATGTCTTCCAGGTTTATCTTTAGTAAAAGGAGTTTCTTTTTTTAAATCTAAGACAAGCCACCTCACACTATTCAAAAGTTGTTCCTGCGTAACTGGAAATCCTCGCTCTTCGCTATACAAGATCCAATCTACAAGCTGTTGTTCTTCTTCTGCTGTTAAAATTGTTTGTGGACCTTTTTTCGCATTTATTGAAGAAACATTATTTATTTTATTATGTAAAGTTGTTGGAGAAATTTTATATTTAGCAGCAATTTGTCTCAATGGTTTTCCAAGCTTCACTTCTTCGACCGCAATTGGTATGTCTTCCTTCTTATACATAAATTCATTTCGTTTTATATTTTTCTTTTTTATTTTTCCTCCTGACATAATGATAAACTAAAAAAAATAAAACAATTGTACAATATATGTACCATATATGAAATTGAGGTTAGGT